GTCGCCACTGATCCGAGGTTCCACGATAAAAACCATATCCGGTTTGTGAGTCCCTACAAAAGTAGACAAGTACTCCGTAAACAAATCACCACATATCCCTTGGTAGTTCCACGCTAATATATTCAACATACTGATAAATAAAAAAGGGGGGAAACACCAAAGCAGAAGCACGGGAAGGGTACTTCCCTACAAGTCGGTGGAACCGACTAAGAGTTCAGCTAAGACCCGGTGGAGGGTGTTGTAGGGATGGCAATTTACCCACCCATGGGTAATTTTGCCCAAACCCAAGTAGACCCATTTATTATGGGTAGGGTTTGGGTGATGTGTGTATGGGTTTGGGGTTTGTATATGGGTTTGGGTTAGATATGGATATTATCTAAATGGGTATGGGTTGGATATGGATATCCATTTACTTGAGGGTGTTTTAACTACACATGCAAAAATTGGACCTATTTGTAAAACTTGAAAAGTTTAGGTACCAAAATGTAAGACCAAAAAAATTTAGGTACCAAAACGTAATTTTCCATAGATATTTTGAAGACTTATATGCAAAAAAATTAAATTTAGGTACTAAATATGCATATCTATTAAATTTAGGTACCAAACTGTAATTTGTATTTGGGCATGGGTACAAACCCAAATCCATTTGTTATAAACCCAACCCAACCCAAAGTAAATGGTTATTGGTACAAACCCATCAAACTTTACCCATATCCATATCTTTGGATTTCATACCCAACCCAATTGGGTTGGATAGTAAAATACCCATGGGTATGGGCAAAATTGCCATCCCTAGGGTGTTGTAGCCCTCCGATTCAAATTCGTCGTCTTGGCATTCTTAACGATTTCCTTCTCTGTAGTAGGGGTAGTGGTACCCGGTGGCTGCCATGTGTGTGTGAGTGGGCGAACACCCTTTCCACCCTTCGCAGCCAAAGAATTTTGGTGATCTGACTTCTCCTTGGGAGTTGGGACGGATACTCTTTTCTATGTTATTGGCATTTGAAGCTGCATTTTTAGGAATTGCCAGGGTTTGTTTCCGTCTACTCGAGCTTCCCGAGCAGGCACGTTCACTCTCTTAGCCGGTCCCTAACAAGATTACTTGGAGGCTTGTTCATTTTTCTCCACACCAACATACGGGGTAGAGGTCTGGGTCGGTGCTTTGGTCACTCTTTCCGAGGATATTGTATCAGATGCAGGTGATGGTTCACGCTGGGTCTTAGTTTCCTCACTAGCCTTGGCATTTGTTGCTCTATCTTCCATTTCTGTATCCCAAGCCGGAGCCATTGTCTTGAGCCTAGTGGTATCATCCAGACTCTCCACCTCGGCACCTCCTATGTGTTTAGAATGCTGAAACGCTAGCCACTGGAACTGGGATTATTCCTCAAGTCACCGTGGGCCTTGTCTTGCTTCTTCGCATTTTTCTTCCGTGGTTTAGCCGTTATCCACTCTCAGTAAACAGGGGCTGGCTCGGCTGTTGGAGGTGGCCCACAGCTTGTCTCCACGGGCGTGGTCGATGGTTTGAAAAGCGTAGGGCAAGTTGTTTTGGCATGGCCATAGTGACCACACTCTGTGCAAATATTGAACAACATCTCAAACTCCACGTAATACACAATACCCTCAATCTTTTATTAAGATAGGAAAGGTTTGGTGAGATCAACCTCAACACAAACTTAAGCATACTGAATACGATCACCATTTTGAGTAGCTCGGTCCACGCGGATCGGCTTACCAATACGAGAAGCGATTCGTTCAACCACTTTCTTGTTTATGAATTCACGAGGAAACCCGGGAGTTTCGCCTAGACCATGGTGGAGGCCACCTCAGCCATTTTGGCGTTAAAATTTTGGCGCCAAGGGCGCACAATGAGGCAGTATTCCCCAATCTTCCATGGTCCTCCTACCGCTGCTTGTTCATAGTCCATCTGGCTCGTGAATCTCACAACATAGAATCCATAGGTCAGGCTAGAGATCTGCAGCGTGCCGCACTTTGCCCAAATGGTGTGTTGCCGGCGTGAGATCACTAGAAAGAGGGCGGTTCTTCCCAAGACTTTAACGATGAGGGTTGACCTCCATTTGCGCCGCCAGCGCAGCTTCTCCATTGCTTTGAACGGCATGGTGGGGCAGTGAGGGTCGTCATCTTCAGGGACTTCATCGTCCGGCTCGTCCTCTCTCATGGCCTATGCGACATCCTCCGAATCAGACTCGGCTTATTGGTATTCCCAAAGGTATAAGGCTGCTGGGGGCGAAGTCCTATTGGCATACTTGTAATCTTAGTCAAATTACTTATGATTTTCCTTTTATTATATTATATTTTAGTTCGATTGAGACTGATATGAGTAATTTTGCTTGGTCTCGGCAAGTTCCATGATAAAGATGAAATGGAAAATTACTCTATGGAGAGATGTAAGAACGTCATGCTCGGAGAAGACATCGCCAAAACGACAATGGGAATCTACTCTTGGCAGCTAATCAGTACTCTGAGGTTGAGAAATCGAGCTCCATAGACTTCAAATCGTTCCAATTCTTGCCCAAGGGTTTCTATTCATCACTCTCTCTATGGTTCTTTTTCTGCCTTTAGAACTCAGAAAATCCGGATACTTTGCCATTTTCCCAAGCAGCTCTTTTATAAGCTGAGAATCAACGTGTTACGACCTGAGTTACGGCTGTAACTTGGCTTGCCCGCCAGTAACACTCCAGAAAACAATGTCGTTGCTTCACTCCGTAAACCAAGAGTTACGCCTTCTTTGGAGGAGTTACGGCCTCGAATGTAATTTGAAGAGGGAGACCGTAACTCCAAAAACATCTCTGAAACTGATGTCGTCGCTACCCAGGAGTTACGGGTGGAAAGGCTGAGTTATGGCCAAGACTGTCACTTCAAAGGTCTGGCCATAACTCCAAAAAGCTTTCTGGAACCTTACATTCTCCACTCGCCAGTTACGGCTCCTTGAGGGAAGTTACGGGCCAGACCGTAACTTGCAAGGTCTGGTCGTAACTCATAGATGCATCACTGCCCGTTCACTTCAAAATGTCCCGAAACACGCTCCTCTGCGCCCGTTCACGCACTAAGACCTGAAACATCATAAACTAAAACGCATAAGCGTAAAACAGGCCACGAGAGCGATAAACCAGACTCAAACGATCAAGAACAGATGGGAAAAACATGTTTGATTATAGTGTTATCAGGCTTCGCTAGCAAGGGAACATAAGCTATATGCTTTATATGATAGTAATATAGGCCATATAGCGCCTTCCAAAATGTTGTGGTATCCATGTGTGATATGTTCTAGTAATTAGAAAAGAGGCAAGCGAGATTTGTGATATTATAATTTATAAGAGCAAGAATAAATTTATTTGACGGCTTCAGTGAAGTTGGTCATATCTGGAGGTGGCAAATGGATTGATTCATGGATAAGTGGATTGGATTGTTTGATCCATGGATCAAATGGACTGGATCAAATGGATTAATGGATCCATGGATTGGATAAAGTGGATTGATGGATTATCCATTAATCCAAATGACATTTAAATCATTGAATCAAGATGTCAAATTTGAAAACTTTATATACTGCAACTTGATAATAAATATTTTAGGTACCAAACTGTATATTTTCCATGATATTTTATTTTCGCAGATGAGAGAAACAGTCATCGCCGGCGACAAGAGTCTGCCGGCGACACCTCCAGCCTCCAGGTCCCTCCCAACTGGACAAGCGGCCGAATCTGGGGCCGAACGGCGCTGGCAGAATCCCTCCCGCAACCCTCCTCGAGCTCACACTCAACGTGATTGTCGTTGATGTCGCTGAACTCCTGGTTGGCGAAGACGTCGAACTCGACGCCGAAGATGCGGGTGCTGGGATCGTTGTCGATGGTGCGATTGAGGAAGCCCAGGTTCTGAGAAGAGGAAGCCCCCTCGATTCCGGCGAAGGGGACGAACAGGAAGACCAATCCGTGGCCCGGGAGGGTGTTTCTGTACGGCGCCATGGCGAAGATGAAGGAGGTGGAGAAGGGGTTGACATAGGAGGAATTGGGGGTTTTGGTGCGGATTCTCTGCGGGTAGAGAGCGCGGCCGATGGTGAATGTGGTGGAGTTGGTGAGGGTGAGGACTCGAGATTCGACGGCGGCGGATCCGTAGAGGAAGAGGCTGGAGGAGGAGTTGGTGGGGGTGAAGCTGTTGAAGAGGAAGGGGAGGGTGTGAAGCGGCCGGCGGTGGTTCATTGCGGCGGCGGGGAAATGGGTGGCGGTGGCGGCGGTTGTTTCATTTGGGGGATGGAGGAGATGGATGATAAGGTGGGGAAATGGAGAAGGCCAGAAGGGGAAAGGGAGAGTTAACCAGTTAGAGAGGAGGATCCTGATGATTGAAGCAAGCCAGAAAACCTTTGTTTCTATGTACTTCTTAGTTTCCTGTGTTTGTATTAGCTTTTCTTACCAGAAGTAAAACCTCTGTTAGCTTGTAATGTATGCTCTCAAGGAAACTAGTCTAGCATTTCTTATTCTCATTCCCTCATAATAGTAGTAACATGACAAATTACAGCCCCAAAAAGCCACAGTGCTCTTAAGAAACAAGTAGAGATTAACATGAAAAACACATCAGATGAGATATTCTGAAACAAGGACTAACCAAAATTACAAAAACTTGACTACCCAAGTCACCATGACAGATTTGCTAAGATGCCTGCTCAAGTTGCAAACTCCAGGGCCTGTGATCTAACTTGAACAGGGTAATCAGCTATACAAGAACCTTTTCATCATCAACAATACTCAATCGGGTTCATAACTCAATCAGAAAACATTCAGCATTACATCTTTGCATCAGGCAAACAAAACTCAATCGGGTTCATTACATCTTTGCATCAGGCAAACAAAACTCAATCGGGTTCATAACTCAATCAGAAAACATTCAGCATTACATCTTTTCAATCATTCATCAGAGATAGGAGTATAATTAGCAGCCATCGAGGATGTTCCAATAGCCTTTGAAATCTTCACCTCAAGCCCATTATCACGATCATCACCTGCATATCATAAGATTCTAATGTTACTTAAAGTTTCCTTAGATTGAACCATATCATATAAAATATATTCTTAATTAGCTTATCACAAGAAGTCCACAAGTCACAAGTCAAACAAAGCCTGCCAGGAACCTTGCTCAAGATAGTTTTCAATTTTTCCTTTTCCCTCTTATGAATCTTCAAACAATGTGACTTAGCAGTGTTCCGAGTAAATGACTTAAAATCATCATTCAAGTAGGCCATCACATCCTGAAGTCCACCATGCTCAACCATTGCAAATTCATACCCATGTTTTATGATAGCCATAGCCATTAGCTCCTTAAATCTATTTTGATCTATTGCTTTTGAGCTTCCAACATTCGACACTGGCACTTCAATTGCACGTCCAATACACTTAAAACTATGACGAGTGAGATTAGAAATACCTTTACCAACCACATAAAGCTTGGGACAGTTTTTGCACTGTGCTCTTGATATATTATCTGCAAACTGATTCCCAGGGATAAAAGTAAATGTCTCCCATGCCTTAGAAGTTCTTTGTCGCTTTCGTTGAACACTTGTTCGAACCGTAGACGTCGACATTGCTGCAAAATGAGCCTCATCTCCAGAACTACCACCATCATCATTTCCCATAACATTCATTTGTTGACTAGACATCCTGAAATAGCATGTTGCCCAGATACGTGGTCACAAACTCAGCAGCAAGTAAGCAACCAATAAGTATATACAAGCAGCGGGATGGAAAAAATGGAGAAGATGAGCAATGAATAATGTGCCAAAGACAGGGAAATCAGAGAAGGAGAAGAGCCAAATCTGACATAAAATTCCCAACCGAAGGATTTCGATTTGTGCCTCTAGAACAAAGCTGTCAAGAAATCGATCCAATTCAGATCTACTCTTGCAGCCGAAAGAGGAGGCAACGAAGACAAACATACCCAGTAATTCAAAAGAAGAAATAACGAAAGAGAGCTGAAGAATTCAGGCTGTGAGAAAGATAATCGAAGGAACAGAACAATGAATGAATTTTAGGGATAGAGGACGACTGATACCTATATATAGAGTTAAGATTAAGCGGGAGAACTGAACTAACCCTGCGCCGACGCAAGTTCACTGCAAGTCTGCAAGAATTCACAAAATCAGAAATTCCAATGGTGAAACAATGGGGAAGAGGTTCGATTAGCAAGTACCTGTTCAACCTTTGAGACGGCGGAGCGGAGAAGCAACGAACAAAATTTCAGTTCGTGGGTTTGGGCGAATGGAGTGATTAACGTTCCTTGATGGAGCTGGCCGAGAAATGATGGAGAGGAAGGCGAGTTTCTGACCTTCGTGAAGGAGGCGACGAGGTGGGTCTGGATAGGAGGCGGCGCGAACAGTGTTGTCTGGAATAGGAAGCGACGAGGTGGGTGAGAGAGGGTGAGAGAGGCGGCGAGGTCGCAGTGGTTTTTGGAGGCGACGACTGACGAGGTGGGTTCAAGAGGGGGAGAGAGGCGGCGACGCGGTCGTCGTGGTAGGCGGGGGAGGAGGGGAGGGCGAGGGCGGGGGCTTGGATTCGGAATTCGTCGAGGGTGAAGGAAGGGGCGCGGCGGGCGAGGGTGGAGCTGATGTAGTCGATGAATCGCTCTCGCTTCTCCTCCTCTTGTCCGACTCCGCCGCGGCCGGCGTCGGAATGGTGGAAGGAAAGAGAAGGGGTGGAATTCCAGGCGGAGTAGAATCGGTTGGAGAGGATGCAGAGTTGGGAGACGGTTTTGGGAGGGAGGAGGGGAGGGCACAGCAGCTCGCCGGAATCACTCCCTGGCCCCTGCCCACCACGGCTCCGACTGCTTCAGGGCTCAGGCTCCGACTGTTTTGTTTTGATTTTTGGTATAGGTTAGTGATTTAGTGGATATCCATGAATCCAATCCATTTATCCATGGATTAAATGGATTTGGACTAAATGGATTTGGATCAATTTAAATGGATTTGGATCAATTTAAATGGATTGGACTGGATTGGACTAATGGATTGGATCAAGATTGCCAGCTCTAGTCATATCTATTGATGACTATAGGAAGTAGTTCATAGGCATAGATTGGCTACTCAAGTCCATTGAGTGATTCAGGAAATGCAGTACATCTAGATCATTCTTATGTCATAGTGTTTGTTGAGGACAAATTTATTCTCAAAATAAAGCACTTAATAATAAACATGAAATCCATAGAGCCAGAGCGAGCACATCATGAAGTACAAAAGTACGAAACTCACTGGTTTGACCTGAGTTCCGAAGGTTTTGTGATTTTTCGAATATACTCCATCCACAGCTACACAACTTATAAAAGCAATGCCAAGCCTATAAGCCCCTTCGGGATATGATTAACATGCAGTTCAATCATAGAAGTTGTCTTCTTTTCCAGTATTCTCTGCATTGCGAGCAAAAATAGTAAATCACTAATTAAAACAACTTCATGAATTAAAAACCCCAAACTTCAAAATTACATTACAGCAAACAATATAAGGAAAACCAACATAGTTACACTATGAAAAAATCAAAACAACGGAGAAGCAGAACATAAGGAAAGGACTTGATGCCAGCAGTGGAGCAGAGAGAGGTGTTTTTCTTCTAGAGCGAGGGAGAAATCAAATTGAGAGTGAGAGATGAGGATCAAACCAATGAGTAGTTGTTAAAGAGAGAACATAAACATCAAGAGATGAGAAACTAACCTAGGTTCCGGTATTCCTTTCCAACCACAAAATTAATTGTCATATGAAGTTCCCCTGCCAGCTGAAATATCTATGAAACCTCTAAAATAGCTTGATTGATTCAGAGCATACGAAGACTGCATATAAGCACCAACACTCATGCTAAACGAATTCCATTAGGATACAAATGGATGGTTGAATTAGGTATGGAATCCGTTAAATAAGCAATTCGTTCTGAAAGGTAATTAAACTAATTCAAACACCTGCACCTACATTACATAAACAGTAAAGAACACCCAAAATAAGCAACTCTAAACATAAATTCTAATACATGCTCTTGGCTGCTAACTCAAAAGAAAATGAATAAGGAGAAGGCAAGTTTGGGTTTCGATGACATAGAATGTGAAGTTTCACTGCAAGTCCACTAGTGTTTTATGGATGCTACTTGTGCATATAGATACATATAGTTACGTTGTTACTGATGCATCCAAGTGCATGTTGGAAACAACTCCATCTTACTGGGTTTGTGATAGGTGATATGATGCATGTACACCGAGAGCAGTAGCTGCAAAAAATCCATGTAATACCAATACTAAATCGATTCAAACCCATCGGTTTCCATGAGGATTAAGAGTCTAAGAAGATGAATGATGAAACCAAACTGAATAACAAACCAAACGGAAACCCAATTAAAAAGAAGTAACCCGTCAAATGAAAGAAAAAAGATTAAAAAAAATAATTAAAGAGAACTTACAGTTCATATGATGATAGAGATCTATGGTTTCTTCTTCCACCTCATCGACTGTGAGAGAGAGGCAGGAAGAGAAAAGCCGATGGGAATCAAACAAACACAAAGAAAAACATTTTTCCTTCTCGATGGCTCCAAATGACAGCCCCTGCAATCTCATTCACCGCCCACATATCTCATTAGCAATGCCATCACAGAATCTAGAAAATCTCGTTGCCGCTCTAGTATTTGACACATGTAATCTCTGCATAGATTACCAGCCTCGTCGTTGCTATCGATCCACCACTATCGTCCATCTCGTTGATGGCAGCTAGCTCCAGGTCATCACAGTGCCTCACTAACATCTCCATCGTCGTCATCGTCGTTGTACTCTCGGCGCCCGACTCTGCTCTATACCGTCGGCGCTGCACCCCTAAACCACCTCCGCCACCTCTCCATCATCGTCGCCACCGCCGGGACGCCACTATAGACCCGTAGGCCGTAGGTAATCTTCCTCCTCACAACTTGCTTCTTCTTGAAGAGAGTAGTGGGTTGTTTTGTTCCTTTCTTCTTCAAGTGACAAGGAGGTTGGGTGAGTGAAAGAGATACAGAGAAAGATGGAAGAGGAGAAGGGGAGAGAGGGCTTCGTGTGGCTGGGAAGAGGGGAAGAAGGAAAGCAATAAAAAAACAAAATGACCCTAAAAAATTCGTTTAGTTACGAAATGATCACCCATTGGGTGAAACCTATCCCTTCGTTCTTACTTCTGATTGATCCTGGCCTGTTAAGAAGAAAAGTGTAGCCGTTTTGATCCGGTTCTTTTAACAAAATCCACACTCGATCCAAACCGTTTATTACTCAAGTGGGTAAAATTCGTTCTCAACCTAAAATTCGTCAACTCCGGGTTAAACTCACTTTGACCGGGTCGAATTAGGTGCACAATTCATTAATTACAAAAGCGGGTAAAACTTGACCGGTCCTAAATTCATCAACACTGGATTGAACTCGTTTTAACCGTTTTGATAAAGCGCGACAAATTCTTAACAAAATCCACACCCGGCCCAATTTGTTTATTACAAAAGAGGATAAAATTCATTCCCGGTCACACCAGGTTCAACTCGCTTTGACCAGGTCGAATTAGAAAAGCGTCTAAAACCCGGTTTCGCAGCAACACTATTCAACATCAAGTCCGCTTCACTCAACAAAATCCATAGCCAGCTCAATCCCGTAATTAGAAAAAAAATGTACAACTCGTTGTCGACACAAAACTCGTCAACACCGCATTTTGACAACCTTTGGATAGATAGCATAAAAGAATTAGAAAAAATATAAAATATAAACTGAACCTATGGTTACTTATAAAGTGTCACATGTTAGATGAACAAAAAGGAAAGAATAATCAATAGATCATTAGGAGAAGAAAAAGGTACCTAGCATGAAGGCAAAACAAAGGTAGTCAAACACAATAAAGCCAATAAATCGTAAAATCCGGCATAAAAAAACCCAAAAGCCATTTGCAACCCTAATACAACAGATAAAAGGCGGTGGAACGACTGCAAGCGGCCACATAAAACAAATCCACGATAAAAAATAGTACACAATAGATTACTAAATCCGGCATAAAAAACCAAAAACCAATTGCAACACCGACACAACAAAGAAAAGGTGATGAAACGACTCCAAGCGGCTACACAAAATAAATCCAAGCACTCATTTGCGAGACCGGGGTAAAAACCAAGCAAACGCTAAACTCGTAAAAACCATCTTCAAGTCCGACACAACAGGAAAAAATGTTCCAACGACTCTAAGCGTGGTTAATAAGCGAAGGAAAGATCGTTAAGATAAGGAAAAAGGTACCAACCACGAAGGGAAAATAATAAAAAGGGTGAGCATAACCCCACATAAACCCAAAATCATAAGAACCAAAATCATTTGCAAGCCCGACATCACGGGGAAAACGGGTAAACGACTGTAAACGCGATCGATATGCGAAGGGAAAAATAATAAAAAGATAATTTTGGCAAGAAAATTGTATTAATCATTAAGGGCGAATAGTGACACTCCGACTTTAACAGGGTTGAATACTTGAATTATGTCGAATATTCATTTATTTGAGTTCAATTGTCATAAGCTAATTAATTAAAATTTTAATGGCACAAAAACTCTTCTAAGCTATGGCTAATTACAAAAGGGCCGCCCCTTGTGATGTGAGTCTATAAAATAGTGTTTTAGAACTTGTTCTTTTAAAAAGTTATTTTTTTTCTTTATCTCGATCGCCTGACACTAAAATCCTTACTCTTCCCCTCCTTGGAGCTGATGAAACGAAGAAACCCGGAGACTCTGGTATCCATGAATCCTCCAAATCTTCACCGACATGCCATTGCCAATCCTTAGTGTCAGTACACCAACTAGAAACTCTTGTACATTCATTAGACTGCCCACGAGCTAGCTCACGAATTGACCTTAACAAGCAATCAAGTCGAACTGACTCATAAGGCCAACTCATGATATTCGGAGGCTCTATTCGAAAATTTAAAATGTGACCCTAAAATATTTTCTTTGCAAAATTATTATAAATAATAAAAAATAAAAAATACATAAGTTCAGAAAATAATTACAAAAGAAATTATATCATATATAATTGTTTAAAAAGTAACAATAGTCTAGCATCATCGTTTAAAATTTATTAAATAGTAACAAATGCCTCTATAGGAGCAATGGTAACGGAACAATGTCCCAATGATAGGGTTGCCATTTTCTCGTTGGTATTTGGCAATGGTTGAATCTTAGGGCCTCTCTTCCATGGATCTTGGCTATCTTGGGCTGAATTTTGACATAATTAATTAGAACAAATATGACACATTAAAAGACTAACTAATTCATTCACTTTCTTTTAACTTTGGCCCATTAAGGCTAACTAATCCATTCAATTTCTTTTAATTTTGGCCATATATCCTTCAGCCCATATAAACGAACTAAATGGTGAGACCATTGAAATTGTGATGCCTGTGTTGTGGGTTTGACCAACACAGGGTCTGGGTCGAGCCCGCTGACTCACGAACCTTGCGAGCCGAACAAATTTTTCTCAATCCGAACGTCGAGCACTCGTGAACATGTTGCCTCATTTGCAGCCTAGGAACATTCAAAAGCCAAGGAAGCAAAGGAATAAATTAAATTAACAGTCGCCCTAAAATTCCATTTATTTTCCTATTGATGTCTGTAGTGCATTAGACGATACAATCTTTTGATTTTTTGGTCTTATTGATGGACGCCACAGCCGGATACATTATGATGTCTGTTTCCGCAGGCTATTGACCTCTATTACTAAAATGACAATGAAAATAAACCTTGTGAGACAATATATATAGCGAAGCTCCACTCACCCTCTTCCATCACACTACAAAGAAAATATTTGCATACTCCTATTAACTCCACCTACACCAAGATGTACCCTAATCCCCAACAACAAACGATGAAGAACAGTGTGATGATCATCTTCGAAAACATCCTCATCGTTGCTATCTTCGCTTCCCTTTTCATGTATCTCGCAAACAATAAAAGCCCACATCAATCACTTGCATCACCGTCGAACTTAATGGGATGTCATGCCTTCCATACGCTGAAGGCGACAAGCACACAATCGACCCCAAGTGCAGCACTGGTCTCCAAAATCTCGTAACAACTGCAACCTCTAAAGACGACAAGGTGACACCGTTGGAAGATGCTTACCAGAAGTTTCTTGCTATCCAGGACAAGTATATGAAAGCGATTCCAAACATATGCAACGTTACGGTTCCTTTCTCTCTCTCAAAGGATATGAAATGTGACAAGTAAGCTGAATCACCAACACCGGCTCCCTAAAATTGTTATAATACTTGAATATTTCATAACTTTATTTAATGAATTCTATCGTGAGAATATTCACCTGCTCCATGAATTAATCTAATATTATTTTATTCTTGATGTTTTGTATTGCAACATCACACAAATCACCATCACCTATTAGAGCCACTTCCACAAGCTTGTGGATATATTGTGAGATAACGAATCCATCAACAACATCTACAAGGTTGCTAAGCTTTACAATTACTTCGAAATATATGTATATGTTTGATGATACTATATATTGTATCCACTCCAGGTCGGCGAAGCAGCTAAGCTAGTCCAACTTCTTGAGCAGCCGAGATATTGAACAACGAACGAACATTTGATTGAATTCCTTGCCAAACCCTGGGATGAGAGGGAAGGTCGATTTTACTCGAATCCTGGACCTGATCTTTAATCCTACACCGGTTAATGACGCGATGGGAGAAGTTTTTTTTTTTTTTTATTTCACAATGCTGGCCCAGTCGAGGCTCGTCCATGCCCAATCCCAATGGACAAACCTTCGATCCGCCCCTAGCTCTATAATCCACCCGTCTTCCCCAGTCCCGGAAAACCCTCCTCTCCTGGGCCTAGCCTAGCCCTCTCTCATTTCTCCTTTGTTTGCTTCCTTGTCTCGTCTGTCCTTCTTTGCCCTCAGCCTGTCTTTGAGCTCTATCCCGCCCTTCCTTTGGCTTACTAGCTAGAAGGCGAAGAGCGCACAGCGCAATAAGGTAAGGTATAGGAACGATTGACGCCGAGAAAGACTAAAGACGGGAGAGCACGCACAGACATCCTCGGGAAAAGCACTAATGAACTACGCCATCCCTGACACTTATGCGGTGAGATACCAACCATCCGCTATCGCCCACCCCAAAACCACTTTTTTCTACCATCAAATGTACGAAACAAGTGTCTCGTTTCCCTACAACATGCATATTTCGTTATAAGATACTCTTTTTTGTTTTATCCATTTCTAGTCCACCCCTTATTGGGTCATGTATGTTCAAGATATTTATCTGTATACCATTTGTAAGAAAATCATATTGATTGTGTCGAGATACATGTCTACAATAACTTAGTTTCTATCCTCTTTTGTTAATACAGAACTTCAAAAGTCTCAGTGTATCATGATTTTATCTAGTATGAACCTAAAAAAACATACTTGAACCTGAAAAAATCAAATATTGTGGGTTTTTTGGGATGTCTGGCGGGTTTTGAATACCCTCCATCTACTGGGTTAAAACTCCAAGGGTCGGGCTTCACGTGTGAGGTGATGGGATTTGTTTACGGAAGTGGCGAGTTTCGGATACCCTCCATCCTTACCCCGCTATCTTCTTCAGAATACCCCCCAAGCCATGTATTTTCTCCATCTAACATTAGAATCTGCAGTCGTTGGAGAATGATGATATCTTATTTGTATCGAGAAATTGATCATTCATCTATTAAAATCGTCTCATCCTTGGAACGTTACAAGGGGTTCAACTCTCTTTTTTTTTTTTTGAACGGATCTATCATAAACAGCACTAAAGAAATAGCGCAATTGTGACCTCTATTACTAAAATGAAAAAGAAGACAAACCCTGTGAGACTATATATATAGCGAAGCTCCACTCACCCTCTTCCACACAGCGCAAAGAAAGCATTTGCATACTCCTATTAACTCCACCTCTACACCAAGATATACCCTTATCCCCAAAAACAAACGATGAAGAACAGCGTGATGATCATCTTCCCAAACATCCTCATCGTTGCTATCTCCGCTTCCCTTTTCATGTATCTCGCAGACAGTAGAAACCCCGCATCAATCACTTGCAGCAATGTCGAACTTAATGCGATGCCATGCCTTCCATACGCCGAAGGCGACAAGCCCACAATTGACCCCAAGTGCTGCACTGGTCTCCAAAATCTCGTAGCAACTGCAACCTCCAAAGATGACAAGGTGACAACATGTCATTGCTTGGAAGATGCTTTCCAGAAGTTTCATGCTATCCAGGACAAGTATATGAAAGCGATTCCAAACCTATGCAACGTTACAGTTCCTTTTCCTCTCTCAAAGGATATGAAATATGACAAGTAAGCAGAATCACTACCTAACACCAACTCTCTAAAATTGCAATAATGCTTGAAAAATATTTAGTAAATTCTATTCACGAATATTGATCTAACATTACTTTATTCTCATGTTTTTACCGCAACATTACACAAATCACCACCACCTATTAGAGCCACATCCAAAAGTTGAATGTATTTCGAGTGAAAAAATCGAAGTACTTGTATATGTTCGATGATACTATATATTGTATACGTAAAATATTGTTCTCACATTACTTTATTTTCATGTTCGAAGTAACTCATTTTCCTACAACCTACATATTTAGTTATACTATACTTTTCTCTATTTTATCCATTTATAGTTGGTCCCTTATCTGGGTTGTGTATGTTAAAGATAACTATATATATATATGTATACCATTTATAAGAAAATCGTACTAAATATGTCACAATGCATGTTTCAAATAAATTAGTTTTTTTTTTTCCGGTAATTATCGACCTTTGCATTAAGAACCGCCTGGAAACCAGGATCCGCAAAAAAACTAGGAGAAACAGACCTGCTCCACTGATCCTTTTATAATAGTAAATCAGAAACAACTAAGCTATATATAAAAAAGTTAATAGACAGCTGAAATGAGGAATCAACCTAACTTCTGTAAGGAAAGTAGTGTTTCCCGTAACATAGTAGTTAAAATCGTCAACTAACTATTGTGTTAACAATCTGGACTCGGACTTCTTACCCTGTGGAACGATTAGCTCCGGATTCCTGCTCTAGGGTTTCGTCAGCGATGAGTGCGCCTGCGTCGGGGGGGCTTCCCCCGGACGCCGGCCAGGGAGATCAACCCACAGGCGGCCGCCGGTCGCCACCCATCTCTTCCTCTCCCAATGCGAAGGGCAACAGAGAAGCCCAACAAACCAAAAAAACGGCCTAAGTCAATGAACTTGAACCCGCTCTTCTAAACCAAGGGAGCGGCGGAGAACCATAGTCACCAGATGGAGGATGTGGAATTCCAGGAAGCCGAGCACCCACAAAAGACGGCTTGGAGTAAGGACCAGGGACGATCCTTTAGCGACGTTCTCCTGCAGGAGAACTGGTATGTTGCGGAGTCTGATTCCGAAGATGTTGCTGAGGCTATGCGAGAAGACGACCTCGACGACGAGGTCCCGGAGGATGACGATCCTCACTGCCCTACGATCGCGTTCGCGGTTATGGAGAAGCAACGGTGGCGACAGGAATGGCGATCAGCCCTCATTGTCAAGGTGCTAGGGCGTACGTTCCCGGTGATTTCAAAACGGCTTGAGTCATTGTGGGCAAAAACCGGAATCCTAGAGATCTCGAGCCTCTCCTACGGATTCTATGCAGTCCGGTTTACTAGCCAAGTGGATTATAAGCGAGCTGCGGCTGGAGGGCCATGGATGATTGGAGAGTACTATATCACCGTTCGTCTGTGGAGAAGAAACTTCAAACCCAAGCTTGCTGAGGTGGCCTCGACAATGGTTTGGGCCAAGTTACCTGATCTGCCTAGAGAGTTTATCAATAGGGAAGCGGTAGAGCGTATCGCATCCAGAATTGGGGGACCTATCAGGGTCGATCGTGCTACTTAGACGGGAGATCGGGGACGGTTCGCTAGAGTTAGCGTGGAGGTTGATCTGACGAAGCCTCTCCTATCCCAGTATAAGATCGAAGGTATCACCTATTATGTTGAATTTGAGGGATTGCACAATATTTGTACAGAGTGTGGGCGCTACGGGCACTCCAAGAAGACATGTCCGACTGTTTCCAGGCACCTCCCATGGAGGAAATGAGTCAACCGCCACCAGCCCCTGCACCAGCACCAATTTATGGAGAGTGGATGATGGCGAAGCCGCGTTCCCGCAACCAGAAGAAGAAAACGTCACCGACGCAAGCAGACGTAGAGAAGCCCATGGGGGGACCAGTCAACAAGAACGTGCAAGGAACAGACATGGAGTCGGGGTCACGGTTTCAGGTCTTAGCTTCGGAAGGCATTACGTCGGATACCCTCGACACCGCGGGCATAGCGGATATGGAGGTACAAGTTAACCTCGTTGAAGGTGCTGATGTGCTCCCTTCCTTGCAACCCAGTCGCCAAATCCCGACCCTAACACCACAGGAGCAAGGTACGCTTTATACGGTACCTAGCCATGCACGCCATGCATCCCCAGTTGTGCAAGGGGGATCCTCGCTTACTAAGGACAAGGAGGCCCTAGTCAATGTCCCGGTGCAGCTCGCGGTCGAGACAAGCAAATTAGCTCAACCCAGCGGCCAGCATGCTGCGACACCTACTTATACCCAGGTTAGCGGTAAGCAACATAGCCTTGTTCACCCTGGCCAGGACAAAAGCCATAAAACCAAGGCTCCGACACCACCGAATCAATTAGCTAAAGGCAAGGGGAGGAAATCGGACTTACCTAAGGGGAGCTCCGTGCAACCTCCAGGACAACCCACTGCTCAAATGCAGCCGAATGAAAAAGGGGCCAAAGGCCAAACCGAGAACGGGAAGCCTCCCGCTCTCTGAGCTCTCCGGACAGTTATTTCGCGGCGGCTGCCGTTAGTAGGGAAGTCTTTTCCTGGTTTCTTTGAGTTTCTTTCTCAAGTTTTCTTTATGATTGATATTCTATCTTGGAACTGCCAGGGGGCAGGTAACGACCTTTTTATTCCGCAATTGTTGTCTATTTGTCAGGTAAACAAGCCTGACATGGTTATCATTGTAGAGTCGCGGATTAGCGGAACTGCAGCTTAGTCTGTTATTGCTCGGACGGGGTTCGACGGAGCCATAGTAGTGGATGCAGCGGGGTTCGCAGGAGGGATCTGGGTTCTTTGGAACAAAGCCAACATGAATGTTACTTCCCTCTGTGAATGGGAGCAGATGGTTCATGTGAGGTGCTCCAGGAGAGGACCTAGGGAACAAGATGTCCTAGTCTCTGCAATTTATGGTAGTCCCAATGCCGGGAACCGACAATCGCTTTGGATGGAGATCAGAAGGTTGGCCACACAAGCTAGCTTTCCTTGGATTTTAATCGGGGATTTCAACTCTATTCTGAGACCTGCGGATAGAATGGGAGGGGCGGGTTTCCAAGAGGCTCGAGTACAACAGTTTAGACGATGTATTGATGAATGCCAGTTACATGAAGTGGGGTTTACAGGTCCAAGATTTACTTGGCGCCGAGGAAATCTCTCTCAAAGACTTGACCGGGTCCTTTGCAATCAGCAGTGGCTTCTTAAGTTTCCGAACACTATCACTAAACACCTGGAGAGAATTTGATCGGACCATAGGCCGATCATGGCCTGCCCCAGACATAACCAAAAGAGACAAGGGAGCCGTCCTTACAGGTTTTTGGCAGCTTGGATGAGCCATGAAGATTTTCCACGGGCTGTAGCTGAGGCTTGGGTGAAGAGGAACGGGCTGCCTCAACAACTTGATGCCTTAACCCAAGACCTGCAGATCTGGAATCGCGACGTGTTTGGCCATATCATAAAACGGAAAAAGAAGCTCCTAGGCAAGCTCCGAAGCCTAGAACTGCTAAATGATCGAGGAGGCTCACCAGGTTCGTTAGCAGAGGAGGAGCAAGTCCGGGCAGAGTTTAATGAGGTACTTTGGCAGGAGCAACTCTTGTGGCTTCAGAAGTCTAGAGAGACTTGGACCGTGGAGGGAGACCGGAATACCAGATACTATCATCTAGCAACGGTAAAGAGAAGAAAGTTTAATAAGATAGAAGGGCTTCGGGATGGCGAGGGGAACTGGATCTTGAGCGATTTGGCCCTTAAGAACCACGTCCGAGGCTTCTATAAGGATCTTTTCTCATCCGAAGCAGGGGACACACCAGTGTTGGTCGCGCGGTTCGAGCGTCTACCAGAATCTGCTGCAGCCAACCTCGAAAGAAAGCTGTTGGGAGAGGAGATCTGGGAGGCTGTGCGTAGTATGGGGGGATTAAAGGCCCCAGGAAAGGATGGCTACCCACCGGTGTTCTTCCAAAAATGTTGGGGCATGGTCCGGGGATCCTTTGCAAGTTTCGTGATGGACTGTTTTGAGCAGCCCCAGAATATTCACCAGGTTAATGATACGCTCCTTGTCTTGATCCCAAAGAAAGAGAGCCCTGACTCAATCAAGCTATTCCGACCGATAGGGCTATGCAATGTGGTTTATAAATCGCTGGCCAAGTGCATTGTTAACAGGATTAAACCGTGGATGGAGCAATTGGTCCACCCCACTCAATCTAGTTTCATCCCGGGTCGTCACATCTTAGGTAACATCATCATTGTTCAGGAAGTCATCCACTCGATGGGGTTGAAGAGGGGTAAGCAGGGCCATATGGTGCTGAAGATCGATTTGGCCAAGGCGTATGATCGGCTCAGCTGGGAGTTCCTTCGCAATACGCTCCAGGAGGCGGGTTTCCCGGAGAAGCTAGTGACAGTGATCATGCAGTGTGTCTCGTCCTCCACTCTTCAGGTTCTGTGGAATGGCGAGGATACTGATCCATTCTCCCCATTTAGAGGGCTTAGACAGGGATGCCCTCTCTCACCGTACTTGTTTACCTTATGCATGGAGCGACTGAGCCATCTCATCGAGCAGGCGGTTGAGGAGGGAAGATGGAAGCCGATCAGACTAAACCCAGGTGGTCCCCCTCTCTCTCACCTTTTATTTGTTGATGATTTAATCCTGTTTGCAGAGGCGAGCCTAGCACAGGGGGAGGTCATTATGGATTGCCTGGAGCAATTCTGCCAGGCTTCGGGACAGCAGGTTAGCAAGGTGAAATCTGTAGTGTTTTTCTCAGGCAACACTAAGAGGCCGACTAGTGCAGCCATTGCTCAACACCTCGGTATCCCTGCAACACAAGACTTGGGGCGATACCTAGGAGTCCCGGTCCTCCATGGACGGATCAATAAAGGTACCTTCCGCTATATTTTGGATCGCCTGGATAATAAACTTGCAGGGTGGAAGGCTAAATCGCTGACTCTGGCGGGGCGGGTGACACTGGCGACGTCAGTGCTTAGCTCTCTGCCCACTTATGCGATGCAAACAACTCTGCTGCCAATCTCCATCTGTGATGAGATCGATAAGAGGATCCGACGGTTCATCTGGGGATCCACTGCAGAAGCTCGGAAGGTCCACCTAGTCCACTGGGAGGGCATCTGTAAACCCAAGGAAGAGGGGGGTCTGGGGCTCAAGCGCATGAGCTGAACATTGCTTTCCTAAATAAACTTGCTTGGCTTTTTGTTAAAAAATCTGATGAACTGTGGGTCAAAGTGCTGCAGGCCAAATACTTTAAACAGGTTAACAGGGGGATGCAGGCGAAGTCTATGGCGAGAGCATCCAACCTGTGGCGTGGTATCAGGAAGGCGTGGCCGGTAATGACGTTAGGCAAGAAAATGAGCATCAGAGACGGGATGGACACAAACTTTTGGACGGATAGATGGGTGGACTCGGGAGAGATGCTCATCGACCATGCGTTAGACACGAGCCCCCCTATAGACCCCGCGCTCCCTGTGGCCCACTTCGCTACTGATGGTGAGTGGAATGTTCAACTCTTACGCTCACATTTGCCAGAGGAATTTGTCTTGCAGGTTTTGGGCGTTCAACCGCCAAGAGAAGGGTACGGAGCTGACTCCCCGACTTGGGGACAAGAGAGGGACGGGCGCTTCCGGGTCAAATCAGCGTATCAGCTCATTAGTCAAGGAGATGATGAGAGGAACACCTTCGACTGGCGCTCTATTTGGTGATGGAGAGGACCAGCCCGTGTCACCCACTTCCTCTGGTTAGCAGCAAGGGAGCGTCTCCTCACCAACGTGGAACGACACAGGAGGCACCTATCAACCACGAACATCTGCCCCCAGTGCAAAGCGGCCCCCGAAACAGTCTTGCATGTGTTGCGAGACTGCTAGTTTTCCAGGTTAACTTGGATGCAGTTCATTCAGCCTTCTGACCACCAACGGTTTTTCAGATCCCAGTTGCAGGAGTGGATTCTGAATCATGTACGACAGGACCTCACGAGTCTGGAGTTCGGCATTGTCTGCTGGTCCCTGTGGAGGACCAGGAATGATCGATTCTTCACAGGCAAGATCACGACCACTACAGCATTTATACAGCGCGTTCGAGCATGGATTAATGTCGTGCGGAATGCCTTGGACAAAGACAGGCTCATTTACCAGCCTCGTCTGCCCATGAGGACGGAGGTGGAGATCTCTTGGAAGCCGCCACCTCCCGAGTGGGTTACTCTCAACTCCGACGGCTCTGTCCATACTGAGTCAGGTCATGCAGCTGCCGGTGGCCTGATGCGAGATCATACTGGACGCTGCCTTGCAGCGTACGCGATTAACCTAGGGAGCTGCTCTATCACCTGCGCTGAGTTGAGAGGCGCTGTAGAGGGGCTGCAGTTGGCTTGGGACACGGGTTTCAGATGTATCAGAGTGGAGCTTGATTCTCTCTGTGCGGTTCAGCTCCTTAGAAGCTTGGACTCGCCAGATCACCAACAGGCAGCCATTATCCAGAGATTCAGAGAGCTGCTCACTCATCAATGGGAAGTTGTTGTTTCCCATATTTTTCGAGAAGGGAATAAGTGTGCCAATCATCTTGCTAGTAGAGGGCATTTGTTGCCTCTGGGTTATCATCCCAACTCATATTCTGACCCCATTTTGTGTAATTTCATTATGTACAATTGTCAGGGGCTCTCCGAAACCCCGTTTGGTTTTGAATGAAGGCTGAGATGCACTGCATCCATTTATAAAAAAAAACAATCTGGACTCTTTTTTGCTGCCTTGATATATACGAGTGCAGCGCTCTTTCCAAATAACGCTGAGACACCAGCACCAAATAGCATCCTGCACCAGTCCTTTAGCTCCATTCTTTACAATTCTGCATATCCACTGTAATAAATTCTCACGAGCTTGGACAGGACTCGAGCCAAAGATGGCTGTAAAAACCTGCAAAGAAAACAAACACTTGCAGAATAGATATGTTCTATTTTCCTCGTCACTATCACACAAAACACACGACACATCATTCACTTTCCCCCATTGTTTCAACTTGTCCAGGGTAGTGATTCTGTTCAAATTTATCAACCACGTAATAACTCTATTCTTTGGAATCACAAACTTATTCCAAATCACTTGCCACCATTCAACTTTAAGTTTTTAGGCTGGATAGAAAATCGTGTCATCACCTTACCTTCCCAAGTTACCTCGCCAGCTGTAGTAGTTGAAAACCGAAACTGGAACCAGCTGCGAATAGCCAAAAGCTTTCGCCATATCCACGATCCAGTCTGAGAAGAAGCTAAGTCTCAAATTGACCTCCCCCTCAGCCTATATCTCTGGATCCACGCCACCCAAAAGCTTCCACTTTGCATCAATAAAAGCCATAATATTCTTGCAACACACGCTACATTCCAGCTGCCCAAATCCTTCAGTCCCATTCCTCCCTCCTTCTTTGGAACTGCAATAGTATCCCAAGCCACTTTCGCACGGGCTGTTCCCTCGCCAAACCAAAGAAAATCTCAGCAAAATTTATGAATCTGATCCAAGACCTTCTTTGGCAGGATAAAGATATTCATCCAGAATTGAACAAGAGAATAGAGAACATAGGATATCAATTGAAGCTTGCCCGCATATGAAAGCTTATTAGCATGCCACGATCGAATTCGAGTGGTGTTCTTGTCCACCAGCACAACACATTCTCTACTCGTTAGCTATCCATCAACCAGTGGGAGACCCAGGTAACGAACATGCAATTTCCCCTCCGCAAAACCAGAAAGAGATAGAGCATTATCTTTAAACTGAATAGCTGTTCCCCCAAAAAATACCTCGCACTTCTTTGGATTACAACTCAGGCCCGATAAAAAGCTGAACTTATTCAAAATCATTTGAACCTTGAGCAGTGCTATTGCAGATCCCTCAATGAAGATCAATAGATCATCAGCAAAACAAAGATGAGTGAGATCTATTGATCGACACTGAGGATCATATGGAATCTGCTTTGTCTGTGCAGCACTATCCAACATTCCATAAAGGGGTTCAAGCGCAATAGCAAAGAGTTAGGGGGAGAGGGGATCTCCCTGCCTATCCCCTTTCTGAGCTTGAAAAAATCCAAATAACGAACCATAGAGACTTATGCTGAAATAAGCAGAGCTAAAACAAACCCGAATCCAATCTATAAAATCAGTGGGGAAATGCATAAGTGAAATCACAAAGAAAATGTACTCCCAGTGTACTGAATCAAACGCCTTATGCAAATCTATCTTAACGGCACAACGACAAGCTATGGTTTTCTTTGAGTAGTTATGCACAATCTCTTGAGCCATCAAGATATTATCTAAAATACTTATCCCTTTGATAAAGGCCGATTGATTCTTACTTATTACCTCAGGCAAAGCAATCTGTATTATGTTAGCTAGAACCTTAACAATTATTTTGTATAAAACATTAATGCACGCAATTGGTCTAAAGGAAGCTAACTTATCTGCATTTGGTATCTTTGGTGCTAAGGTGAGAGAAGTTGTATTAATACCTTTTGGTAGCTGCTTTGTTCTAAAGAACTCTTTAACTCCAACACAGACATCCTCACCAATCAGCCCCCAATGCCTCTGATAAAACCCCACTGTCCATCCATCAGGGCCAGGAGCCTTTGATGGATCCATAGTAAATAAAGCTAACCGAATTTCTTCATTTACCACCTCTGCACAGAGCTTGACTTGATTAGGCTCACTGATATACCTCTTAATATAAGCAGCAATAACAGTACCGCCAGGTTGCGCTGCTGTGTTGATCACTCCATAGAGCTTATGATAGAAAGTGACTGCTTCTGATGCTATATCTTCCACATCAGTGATCTCTATTCCTGAATCACTAATCAGCTTTCTTAATTGCTTCTGAGCTTTCCGAATCATCACTGATCTATGAAAAAATGCAGAATTCATACCCCCCAATGTAAGATACTGGATACTAGACTTTTGCTTGTAAAAGCTCTCTTCTGCCAACTTCAGTCTACTCAGCTCACAAGTAAGGTCATGAACTCTATCAAAAGTAAAAGTAGAGGGAGTCTCTCGAGCTTGAATCTGTGCTTCTTTAAGGGTGGTGTTTGCCTCCTTAACCCTTCCTGAAATGTCAGAGAAGTGCTCTTTATTAAGTTTCTTGAGTTCCAGTTTCAGCATCCTGAATTTCTGCTTGATTGTCCGCAGTGTTGTTCCTGAAAACCTTTGACTTCAATATCCTTTAGAATTCTCTCGTAAGAAAGGTGTTAAGTCCACATGTCATAGAACTTGAAAGGTTTTGGGAAGCTCTTCCTGGGGGTACAAGGCCTGATCAGCATTCCACTATGATCAGAGAAAGATGGAGGGAGAAATTCTACTACACAGTCTGGTAGTCTATCTAGCCAATCTTATATGCTTCTTTGCTGTTAGGGAACTTTTCCAAATTTAAGTATATCATGTTCGTCTCCAATTTAAACAAAGAAAACGTAATTATTCATAAAACCAACCTAAGATCATGTTTTTGGATTTAATGGAGGGGTTTGAAAAACCCATCATCTTTTATAGAAAGTATCAAACAAGGATCGAGCTTCACGTGTGAGTTGGGGGGTTTTGTTGACAGCAATGGCTTGTTTCACGTACTCGCCACTCTTATCCGCTATCTTCTACAAGATACCTCCAAGCTATGTATTTTCTCCATCCGACATTCAAATTAGTTCTATATTCTATAATAAAAACTAATCATTCACCTCTTAAAACTCATTGTCCCTTGGGACGGTATGAGGGGCCCAACTCTAGTTTCAGTGAACAGATCAATCATAAACAAGGGTAATGAAACTCTAGTTTCAGTGAACAGATCAATCATAAACAAGGGTAAAGAAATAGCACAATTGTTTACTAGTGTCTTTGCAGGTTGGGAGTGTTTTCCAAGAGTTTTATTTAGTAGTGAATTTTATGGTAGTGTGCATTTGACTTCCGTTAATTATTAGTAGTGTTTCGCATAGTTATACTTAATATAATTGTATTATTTCATATGGATTATCTTTTCAATAAATTTCAGTCATTGTTCTTACTAAAATGCATCAATCACTACTAATTACAAATTACAAAATCAAGGTGTCGTAGTTTATGTTAATCAAAATTTAATTTTTGATTTTTTTTAATATTCTCTGTAAAAATATATGCCCACAATAAATAAAATTTATATCTAAAGATTTATTTTGATAAATAATGACGAACCATAAAAAATTAAAGTATAAACGTAGATTAGCATGCATATCATTATCGGTAAGATTCATGTAAAAAAATCGAAATAAAAAAGTGAGGATATTACATTTGAGAGTTTAATGGTTGGAGCAAAACGTGAAATAGGGATGGAAAAGTAGGTATTTAGTAGGGAATGTATTTAATATACTTTGAGTTGATCAATCATGATGTGAAATTTTATATTCTGTGGAGTTCGCTAATTTTTGGATGACACTTTCGATCTTGTCCATTTTATCCGACCTGTTTGGCCTGTTTTGGGCGGGTCTGACCTGCCACGTAGGCGTAGCAGGGAGGGCATGGGTACCTCTTATCGATCCGACATAGCCTGATACGCCTCATTCTCGACCATTTTTGCCTAAATTACATGTAATTTTAGTCAAATTACTTAAGAATTTTCTTCTTTTACGTCATATTTTAACTATAATAAAGTTCTAGATAAGTGGAACTTCATTTTCTCCAATAATTTAACTACATTTTATCATATTGTGGTTTGTTTCTTGATCTTTTATTAAAATATTAGGTAATATAAATGGGTCCACTAAAGGGTGACAATGCCAATTAGGCCCAAACCCATTCAAAAGCCCAGAGCAAGGTGGGTTGAGTTGGGAGAAAAGGACCACTAGGACAAATCTGTGGGAGGAGGCGCATAACGACAAAAGAGGGTTTGGAGACAAAATAGTGCGGAGGAAGAGGGCCAAAGGGCTGCCATCTGTGGATGTGGTCCCCTCTGGGCGCCCTCGACAGGAAGACTGAGATATTGCCACGTAGAGGCGCCTAAACGTTGGGCCGTACTGGACATTTAATGCCTTGCTGACTTAGGGTTGAACTTTATGAACTCGGGCGGAACCTTGGCGAGTATAAATAGTGATCGGTAGGTGGCATTTAAGCAGATTCGATTCTCTCACTAAACTCTCTCCCGTCACTTATCTCTCTAGAAACTCGACTAACTTGAGCTTCATAGTGTTAAAGGGCCACACAAACCCCCTTGTGCGCCCATTCTTGCAGGGTCCTGGCGCCTCGGTTGGGAGTTCGGTTGGAACCAGATTCAAGATCATTGGTCAAGAGTTTTGCTGCTCAAACAATTGGCGTGCCAGGAAGGGGCAGACAGGGCAAGATTATGGAAGCGATGGACGAGGAAGGAGGAAGTGGAGGCAGCCCGAGGACAAAGAGCTCGGGGCAAGGGGCAGACGAGCACCTAACAAGCCACGAACTAAGCATGGAAGCTGATGAAGAGGACGACTATGAGCGCCCAGCCACGGAGAGCGACTCCTTGTCTAGGAGGGAACTATTTTGGATCATTGTTGACCAGGACAGACCATCGCATCGCTGAGAAGGGAGTTGGAAGGAGGTTGGGGCGAGGATATGAGAATGCACGACCCTGTAATGAGAAAGCGAGACAGAGCGATGGATGACACGGAGTCAGGCTACTACGGTCACCCATATAGAGCTGGACATAACGGAGATCAGGTA